CTAAACTGATTAGTTGAATTAGTTTTTCTGTGGAGTTTTTGGGGTTCCCTATGTATATTATCATATCATCTGCAAAAATCCTTTTTGGATTCCTTGTATGTCTTTCTCTTGTCTTATTGCTCTTTAAGTGGTGTGAGCTTACACCCTAAATCATGCACAGTGGTGTAAATGATGGCACCTCAATAAAAATGATACAATTTAAAAAAAGGGATGAGTGCATTTTATGATTATTTGAAATTATACTACATAAAATAGTAAGTCTTAACTTACATACAAAAATAAATAAAATAATAAATTTACATTCCAAAGCTACAATCCTGACCCTGGAGAAGCCCTTCTTTCTGAAGCACCAAACAGACTTCTCTAAGCTCTCACTTTATTATTTTAAAAAAGATTTATTTTTATCTATTTATGCATACAAGAACTGGGGATATTCCTCTCACACTGCTGAGGGGAACAGCGGGAGAGACAGGAGAGGTCTGCTATACCATGTGGGTCAGCTCCCTAGTCAGGGATCAAACTCAGGCTGTAGTGGTGGACCTTCTCGGTGGTAGTGCAGCGGCTAACCCCTAGGCCACCAGAGAGGCCCCTCCAGCGATTATCTTAACTACTAACGACCAAGTTGACACTGATATGACTGGCCTACAAATACAAAAGAATTAAAACAGATTTCCAATAAACTGATAAACTATTTCTATTTTTAAAGATTTTATTTATTTATGCATATAAGAGCTGGGGTACAGGCCAGAGGTGCGGGGAGTGAGAGAATACAGCAGAGACAGAGTGGGGAGCAAAGCAGATGGATTGACTGAAATACATTGCTGATGGGAACAGCGGGTGAGACAGGTGGTCTGCTGCACCATGTGGGTCACCTCCCTGGCTGGGTATAGAACTTGTGCTGCAGTAGTTGCGGAGAGCTTCATAGCGCTGACGCTTAACCCCTTGCACCACCAGCGATGCCCCTATTTCTATTTTAATGTTTTTTTTTCTACTTGAACTTCAGCAATTTGTATAGACATGATATCTATCTAGTATGATTAAACATTTTAAGTTATCCTCAATTTAAAAATGGGCAAATGATCTAAACAGTCATTTCTTCAAAAAAGGTATATAAATAGACAATAAGTACTTGATAAATGGTTCATTATCATGAAATGCATCATCGAAATGCAAGTCAAAATGATTCTGAGTTGCTCCTTCACACCCATTAAAAGTAATAAAAGTAATAAAGTCAGGTAATGGTGAAGATGAAGGAGCAACTGGAACTCTTACCACACTGCTGACAGGAATGTGAAGTGGTGGAAAACAGTGTGGCAGTGCCCCCAAAGTTAAATAGTTACCACTTGACCCAGAAATTCTAGTCTGATGATTATATGCAAGAGAATCGAAAATATGTCCACACAAACACTTGTAAATGAATGTTCACAGGCGGAAACTACCCAGCCCATTAACTGATGCACGGCTAAACTGCGGTCTATCTGCCAATGGAATGTTGTGAAATCATGAGCACTGATACATGCCACAACACAGATCAGCCTTGAAAACATGTTAAGTGAAAGAAGCCTGACACTAAGGTCACATAGTATATGATTCCATTCATATGACATGCTCAGAAGAGAGACAGAAAAACCCTAAAGGATTGCATGGGGCTGGGGAGAATGAGGAGGTCAGAGAGTGACAGCTAAAGAGCAGGGACTCTTTGAAGTGATGAAAACGTCTGCCATTGTAGTGCTGGCTGCATAACTTGATGAATATACTAAAACTATTGAATTGTACACTTGAAATGGGCAAATTGTATGTGACCTGTAATTCAATTTTTGAAAATCATCCCAATTTTTTGATAAGATGGGCCATTAGTTTATCTAGGTCTAAAGTTCTCATTTTGTTACCAGGGGGCCTACACTACAGAGCAAGACTGGCATTTTACGGCCACCTGCCTGGGAAAAGGCAGACTTGCAATTAGAATAGGCCAGTTGAAAGGACCAAGTTGAATGGTGCAGACACGAAGTAAAATGGGGGGTAGGGGACTCTGGAATGGAAAGATAAGGAAGTACAAGAGCAATCCCCAGATCCATCCATTCCCTACCCCCACCCCAAGGTGATCATCTAGACTTCGAGATGTGGAGGGGCCCAGACAACTGGCACTCTATTCTTGGCTTCCAAAGAAAGAAGCATCCAGCAGCTAACCTCTGAAGAGAAGCCAAAAACTGTTGTAGGTAAACAGGCAGCTGAATCTGCCTTCAGTCTTGTTGCTGTTGCAATCACCTGGAGAGAGAGCACCAAAGGCCCTGGGCCAGGTGTCTCACTGAGCTGTTGTTGGTATGGGCTAGAGACTCACTAGTCATCAGCCATCATCTTCCACTGCTCCTGCCGCTGACAGTAGTCTGTTCCAGCGTCCCGTGCTGTCCATCCCAACCTTCGAACTGTGGCTGTGGGCTGTGTCATTATCTAGCCGACTCCTCTGTGAGTGACTTTGCCTGCCACTGTGAGTTGGAGCCCCACCACTGCTTGCCAGCTGCCACACCCTCCAGACCCTCTTTGGTGGACCAATTTCATCTTGGATGAGCAGCCTTTTGTTTAGGACTTCTGAACACTGTGGGTAGTATCTGAGATGAAATAGCTGGCCACTTGTGGCCTTAGTAACTCTGTTTCCCCATTTGTTAAATCACTGCTCCTAATGGTCTGAGTCACCCTTCTAAGAAAAGTAAAGTCACACAGTAAAGTCACATAGGCCTCAGTAAAGTCACACAGGCCATCTTGAATCTACCATAGAACTCTTAGCTCAGCTGTAGAAAAACATGGTGGTGTTCATTGAAGACACCTTTGTTCTTGGCACTTGTAGTGCCGGCAAGGCCAGTGCAGGATCTCTATAATCCAGGCAGACCAGTAAAGGAGAGTCCTGGAGCCCTTGGTGGTTTTTTCAGGCATTTATTGAGCTTTTACCAGGTACACAGCAGGCAGGGGTGCCAGGAGGCTGGCAGGCCTCCCAGCCCCCAGCAAGTCTTCGCTCTTTCTCGGTTCTCTTGTGTTCTCTCGTGGTCTCTGCTTCTCTGTTTCCTGGTTCCCTTCTCGATCTCTCTCTCTTCTGCTGGTTCCCCGTGACGCTACCCTTATAACCCAGTCTCTCACCCCAGGGGCACCCACCTATGCATGCCCATACCCCACTCCAGGTGTCCACCATTAGGCATGCATGTAGGACCATAGGGATCCATCATTAATGCTAATGGTGGGAGGGCAGAAAAGCCTGATAATTTTTCACTTACCCTACAGCGCTTCATTGTCTTATGACTTAAAAAGCTGACACTTATGACCTGGCCAGTTTCCTACACTTTCATTATTGAGCCACATTTCATACTGATGGACACTGGGCTAAATAAAGACCATCACCAAATCACAGGGTAGGAGCAGCATGTTGGCCTGAACAGAAGGGACCTGGGTTTAAAACCAGCTTTGCGTGCCCTGGATGAAGTTGTTTACTTTGTGAGCCTCATTAAATTATGAATAACAAATGTATTCTTTGTGAGCACTGGTTATTATCTGGTGTAGGGTTAGGTAAAAGTATCAGGCTTTTCTGCCCTCCCGCCATTAGGATAGATGAGGGAACCCTGTGGTCCTGAATGCATGCCTGATGGCGGGCACCTGAAGTGGGTACACCTGGGCTGAGAGACTGAGTTTATAAGGGCAGCATCACGGGGATGCCAGCAGAAGCCAAGAATGAACAGAAACCGAGAGAAGAAGAGAAGCAGAGAGAACGCCGGAGAGAGCCCAGAGAGAGTGAAGATTTGCTGGGGGCTGGGAGGACTGGCAGCCTCCCGGCCCCCCAGCACCCCTGCCTTCCATATGCCTGGTAAATCTAAATAAAAGACCTGCAAAAGCCCCTGAGGGCTCCAAGACTCCTCCTTTACCCGGTCTGCATGGGATCATAGAAAACCTGCTCAATGGTCCTTTCTGCCCCTACACCTGGAATGTGCTTGGAACACAAATGCTAACTTCCTCCTTCTCTCACACTTTTAAAGTTATACCATGAGAGGGAGATCAATGTCGTTGAAGGAAGGCCAGGGTCACCGTGGGGGTGGGGGTGGGGAATGTGTGAAGGCATTCACCAGTCAGCATGGAAGCAGAAAAGGCAGATTTATTGAATTACTGTGGAGAGACAGAGGCGAGAGGAGAAAGCATTAGTCTGGACACTGAAAGAAAAGTTTGGCTTTCTTATTTAAGACACAGGTCTGTGGCAGTTGTTATCTTCTAAATTGTCAAGGCCACAAGTAGTTTCTGCCTTCCTTTGAAATTTGCACCAGTCTTTAATGGCTACAGGTGGGCTTTATGGTTATTGTTTCAATAACAGTACTATAGGGTAAGGAAAAAATGTCAGGCTTTTCTGCCCACCCGCCATCAGGATAGATGATGGCACCTTGCGGTCCTGAATGCATGCCTGATGGCGGGCACCTGGAGTAGGGTGTGGGCATAGGTAGATGGGATTCACCTGGGCTGAGACTGGGCTTTTAAGGGCGGCGTCACGGGGACACCAGCAGAAGCCAAGAAGCAGCAGAACGAACAGAAGAGCAGAGAAGCAGAGAGAACGCCAGAGAGCCCAGATAGAGTGAGGATTTGCTGGGGGCTGGAAGGACTGCCAGCCTGCCTGCCATATGCCTGGTAAACCCCAATAAAAAGCCTGCAAAAAGCCACCGAGGACTCTGACTCGTCCTTTACCCTGTCCGCTGGATCAGAAAACCTGCACTGTGTCCATTCCTGGCCCTACAAGTACCATATCTGCCCATGGTTCCCATATCTGCCCAAGGTCGCAGGACCAGGTTTCCATGACAACTCTTAGCTCCCCTAGTCTGTTTAAAACTTCCTATCCTTGGCAACTCTCCTGCCCGCCTGTAACTAAGCAGGTGCCTCTTCTTTTTTTTCTCCTTTTCCTAATAAACCTGTCCTTTTAAAACACAAAACAAACAAATAACTAAAAATAAAACTTCCCATCCTTGTCTGCTAGGTAAGAGACTGAGCTTTTAACCCTATAGACTCCAACAAGTTCCACTGACTGAACTGGCTGGCTCCACCTTCACAAAAAAGTAGATGAATCTTCCACTGCATAATCAAAGGCAATTAATTTGTGACAATTATCTAATAACATCCATCCCGTGTTCCAAGACAAGGTAAGTGATTCAAGATTCACCCTGGTCTCCGTCTACTAGTGCTCTGCTCATGAAAGGCAACTGGGCACCCCCTCAAATTCTCCCCAACCTACCCCACGTCTACTGCTGCACTCAAGCAGCCTTCCCCTTCATTCCCAGATAGTTGTCTTGGTGACGTTTCCGTGTATATAAATGCCAGGTGGTGGAAGAATTACAAGGAAAAGAGAACAGTTAGGGGACGCTGGTGGAGGATGGGAGGGCGGTTAGGGAAACCTCTGTCGTAGGTGACAACAGATCTCTGCAAGAAGCGAGGCTATCAGGGAAAAAGCAGTTCAGAAGGAGGTGCTGGCCATCCCAATTTTTTTTTAATTTACTTTTTTATTTTATAAATTTTTACATCTTTTTTAAAAAAATTATTTATGCATACAAGAACTGGGGTGCAGGCCAGAGATGCGGGGGGCGAGAGGATTCACCAGAGAACAGACTGAGTGAAACACACTCCTGAGGGGAGCAGCGGGCAAGGCAGGAGAGGTCTGCTTTGGCATGTGGGTTGCTCCCTGGCAGGCTGGGGATCGAACTCGTGCTGGAGAGGCTGTGGTTTGCTTCATCGTGCGGTGCTTAACTTAACCCCTTGCGCCACCAGGGAGGCCCTATTTTTCATCATTTTTCATTTTTGCACAATGTATGCATTTTCGTCTTGGTTATAGTCCCCATACAATTCCCACCCCCCTTGTTTTGATCCTACTCCCTCCCCCCCTCCCCGCCCCGTAGTGATTGTTTTACTTGTGCTAGAAGGGAAGAAATCTTCAGCCGTGTCAGGCGTTACTTCAACTTTGGCACCTAGGGCACACCAACCGGGACCAGCTCAGAACCCGGACCCCAGGGCTGGCTTCTAATGGAGTTTGAAATCACACCAGGCTGTCCTGCGAGTCTTCTCGGAGCACCGACCCTCCGCGTTGGGGAGCCTCAGGTCAGTAAGCGGTGGTCGCGCGTCCACAGGCACCGCCGCCTCCGCGGGCTCCCGGTACCTGGGACGCCGAGCGCCCCGACCGGCCCGAACCCGCGCCTCTGCCCCTCCCGCCTTCCCCAGGCCCGCCTTAGGGCTCCGCCCCTCGCCGCCGATTCCCCGCGTCGCGTCTGGGCACCTCGAGCTCCGTCCCTGACCGGCCCCGCCCCGCCCCGCCCCTCAGAGGCGAGGCCCCGCCCCACGGCCGAGCCGCCGCTCTTCCGCGGGCCGAGACGGAGCGCTCGTCCCCGGCTGGCTGAGCAGGGCGCCCGCCCGCCTCCGGGCCGCGCGACCCGGAAGTGACTCCGAGTTCCGGCCCGCGTGGTTTCGCTCCCTGGAGGCTCCGCAGTCGCGGCAGCTGCGATGACCAAGATAAAGGCCGATCCCGACGGGCCGGAGCCTCCGGCGGAGGCTTGTGGAGGGGAGCGCACTTACCACGAGCTACTGGTGAATCTGAACCCCATCGCGCAGCCCCTGGCTTCTCGCCGCCTCACGCGGAAGCTCTACAAATGCATCAAGAAAGGTGCGGCGGGCGCCGCGGTGGCCGGGTGGGCGCGCGGGTGGCGGGCCAGGGCCCCCCGGCTGAATCTAATGTGGTTGCAGCCGTGAAGCAGAAGCAGATTCGGCGCGGGGTGAAGGAGGTTCAGAAGTTTATCAACAAAGGCGAGAAAGGGTAAGAACCCCACCGCGCCGAATTTTGCATTTCTCAACAGTAGCGAACAGTATCCCTACTGCTAAGTCGGTACAAGTGCTCCGACTCGGGTATATAGAAAATGATCAAGTAATCGATGAATTCCCTCCAGAATAGATGCCGGCCCATGACTTACACGAGCTCAAAGGGACACCACGGGCAAGTGGATTCCAGGGGATGCGAATGTTATAAGCCGGCTCCCTTAAGGGTAGACCCCAGCTGCAGTCACTCAGCGACTGCTTATGGGTGTTTACTCGTTTTCAGGCACTGCGCTGTGGGGAGACAATGACATTGATCAGACAACCACACAGTTACAAGTTGTGATTGATAAGAAGAGTGAAGTGAGGAGCTCATTACCCTCCATCTTTCTTTTCTGAGGTTTATTAGCATCTGAAGTGTATTTGTAACATCCCCTGTATCTTCCATTCACGCCAGACAGAAAACAGTTTGAGAACAGGTTGAAGACTCACTGCTTTCTCTACAGAAATGTGTGGCACACTGTAGGTGCTCAAGAGATAATGCTGGAGGGATTTGATGCTCAGTGAGGAGTCTCACCTAGTTGCCAGTAGCTGAGATCTGAAGATAATCAGGATTAGTTTGGTGGAGTGGGCTAGATGATACTTTCTCATGAGACTCTGTCAGCCATAGTAAGTTTAGTTTTTATACTCAGAGCTTTGAAAGACCATTGAGGGGTAAAGCCAGGGAATGACATAATTAAGATTCTCCTGGCAATTTAAGAAAGGATCAGAGGCACACAAGTGGACTTAGGGATGGTGAGATGGGAGCCTCTGTAGTCTAGAATAGATGCAAAGGCAATTTTGATTAAGTTAACGATGGCAGCAGTGGTGCAAGGGGTTAAGTCTCAGCACTATGAAGCTATCCCCAGCCACTGCAGCATGAGTTCAGCCCCTGGCCAGGAAGCTGACCCACATGGTGCAGCAGACCTCTCCTGACTCACCTGCTGTTCCCCTCAGCCATGTATTTCAGTAGATCCACCTGTTCTGCTCCCCACTCTGTCCCTGGTGACCCCCCACCCCCGCCACATCTCTGGCCTACACCCCAGCTCTTGTGTGCATAAATAAGTCAGATCTTTAAAAAAAAATATAGTTGATGCATCTGAGAAGACTTTCGTACATGGAGTGTGAAGAGGTATGGATTCAGCTGAGTAGATTAGAGAGCCCACTCACTGAGTGAACAGTGGATGGGGCCAATTTGTGTAAGAAGATCTAAAGTTTGGTTTCAGGCAAATTTTTGAAGTGCCCCCTCTCCTCAGGAGAACTGCTAATAGGCAGATGGTTATATGGGTTTGGAGCTTGGAAAAGAGAGGGCCACGGCTGGAGAGAATAGATTTGGGAGTAAGGCGAAGCAGTGCTTTGAACCAAAAGCTCTTTCCTTTGTTTGCCTGTCACACACCACAGCCCTCATCCCCACAACAGACTCTTCGTTCTGTGTCTTCAGGGCTCTTGAGGCCCTTGCCTTTGATACCTTGCCAGCCCAGCCAGGACCCCTAAGGAATCTGTCAAGCCTTCATTGGTTCCCTGACCCTTCTGCCACTGAGCCCTGCATCTTAGCCTGACACTCAAGGCCCTTGGGTATGGTCCCTCTCTGGCTTTATTGTCTTCCTCAGGCCCCAGTCTGTATTCCAGAGCCACCCCAGACACCCACCTGGCCAGCCCATGTGTTTGCTACCATTTCTGATTATTCGATTATCTCAGCCTTAATTGCTTTCCTTGCCCCCAGCCCCTCCACAGACGTCACCATTCAATTTTCTGTTCATGTGTCACCTCCTGATTCTCCAAAAATTTGGCATCCGTGCACTGCATCTGTCTCAGCACGATACTACTTGTCACACTTGGTGGCATTTAATTATTGCCAGGAAATAGAAATCACCTTCCCAGAGGAATGTACTCACCAACACAAATTGCACTTTCAGAGGTTGGGAGACCCACATTAATAGTTGGGCTTCTTGATAGCTGGGAGCCATTTTTAACCCCTGCAGGCCCAGCCCAGAGACTTACTTAACTGAAAGGAGGAATGAGCAAACTAGAAATTATAGTGGGTTCTCTCATTTCAGGATCATGGTTTTGGCAGGAGACACATTGCCAGTGGAGGTATACTGCCATCTCCCAGTCATGTGTGAGGACCGCAATTTGCCCTATGTCTATATCCCCTCTAAGACGGTAAGGAGCACAGGAGCCCCTGATCTTGGTCAGCACTGGAGGGGTCTGGGTCCTGGTCTGCAGCAGCAGGCCATGGAGGAATGGGGCATGGGCTTTGGAGTTGAGACAGGCCTGGCCAGACTTCAGGCGCGCTTCGGACCTTTATGCACTTCGGTTTCCTTTTTGTAAACTGGGACTCCATTCCTCTGAGAATGAAAAACACCTATGTGGATATGCTTTTGACACTGTACCTATGTTAGTCCTGTTGGGTGGGTGTGGTGCTCGGGGTGTGGGGGTGTCTTAGGGGCCTAAAGCTGCCCTTTTGTTTTATCTTTATCAGGGGCCAGGCCTGGGGCACAGGGTTTAGGGGCCAGCAGGGAGCAGGAGAGCATAAGCCCTGCCCAAGGGGGCACCCCCACTAGACTGGAGACTTTGCAGAGCTGCCATTTGGGAATGTAGGCCCAGTGTTGCTGGACTGTGGCTTGAAAGTTTGCTACATTTAAATGACAATTAATATTCTGAAATGGAATGACCGGATAGCACACTTGTGGGCTGTATTTAAGCCACTGGATTAACGGTCTGGAACTCCCTGGCATGTAGGTTGTGCAGTGATTTTCCCAAACAGCCCTTTGCTCTTCTCTGCCCTTCTCTGCAGGACCTGGGGGCAGCAGCAGGCTCCAAACGCCCCACCTGCGTGATAATGGTCAAGCCCCATGAGGAGTACCAGGAGGCCTATGACGAGTGCCTGGAGGAAGTGCAGGCTCTGCCCCCACCCATGTGAAGGACTTAGGCAGCAACCTGGGCACATGCTCCGGAAGCTGTTGGGAAACCAGCCTGCTGTCCTGCTGCCCACACTCGCAGCATCTCCCCCGTCCCCAGAGGCACATATTCTTCCCAGGCAGCTATTTCATGAAGGAAAAGCCAGCATCTTCTCCAGGGCTGTTTCCCTTTGAGCTTCAATGAAGACAGTTCCAACAATGTGGTGTGGGGGAAGTAAATGCTAAGACTAAAATGTGGTGAGTCTGTGGGTGTTTTCTTGAGCAGCAGCTGGTGGTAGGGCTGAGGAGATGGTGAGCAATAAGAGGGGAAGCAGCCTTTCTTACCAGGGAACCCCAAGGATTTTACAAGTATTCACTGCTATGCTGGGCTGCCCTGGGCAGGTGTTAGACTCAAGCCAGGAACTGACTCTAGGCTGCCCACCCCCAAGCTTTCGACTCCCACTTCCAGAGTCAGTGGGTGCTGCAGGATAAGGCGGCCAAGCTTAGATTCAGCTGCACAGAAGCCTGTACCCCCTATGTTGGGACACCCCCATTCATCATTTCTTTCCCCAGGAGCCATAAATGCCACTGGGAAGCTACGGAAGCAGTTTACCCACCCACATAGTACATTTTAAATAGGAACATGAAGCTAAGTACAAAACTATAGGCCATCTCTCCTGTGTGGCATCACAGGCCCTGAGAGCCCAATCCTTTCAGGCATTTTACATTTAAGGTGCCTTCCAGCTTTTCAGAACCCTCCCACACCCACCCCTGACTCAGCGCACACAGCCACCAAGCTCAGGCACCATGGAGAAAAAACCTAGATTGGGCTTGAGGGTCAGATCTGGTTTAACCACCAAGCACTCTCTTTTACAAGCCTGATGCTTGGCTATACAATTCATGTTCCTCAACCCTCCATACCAATTTCAAATGAAGAGGTAATGAGCTGTATTTATGAATGTGTAAAAGCACCTTGCACAGGGCCCAACATATTACAGGATTTTCTCCCCATCAGATGCGGGCTGGGTTCTTCCTGACTGGGCACCATGGCTGCTTCTGTTCTAACCAGCAGCAGCAGCCAGGCCATGCCTGGCACCTCTCTGCAGTGGGCACATATGCATGTGAAATTCTTTGCCAGTGAAGCTAAAGGCAGGTTAGTATATTTGCTCCAAGTTATAAAACAGTGGCATTCAATTCTAACCTAGACTATTTACAGTAGGAAACAGATACATACATTGGTGAGGCCATACAGCAGGAGGCGGACATGATGCTGGCATGGCAGTGGGACCTGGCTGAGGCAGGGATGGGAAGACATCTGCTGCTGGTGGCAAGTCCTTGCTTCTATGTTGGTCGATACTTACAGCAAATATAAACGGACACAGCAGGACTAGAGAAGCCAGCTTCTTACAGCCAGGGAGCCAGCTGCCTAGGGCAGGTTGGCTCATATCCTTCCAGCTTCTGGCCATGGTGGCACTCCTCAAGTTTGCCGCTCTGAAATGAACTACAGTCCACTGAAACCAGCCATCCTCACTGAGATGGCCAAGGATCATGGGTGAAAACCCCTCAAAACCAAAGTTCCTTCGAGGCTGGGATCAGAATATGAGGCGTTTGCCATCTGCTGGGTTTTGCTCCATAGGGCAGTAGGGACACTTCAGCCTGCAAAGAGGGGGAATTGGGTCTCAGGGCTGGGCCAGCAGGATGGCCAGGCCAGGATGGAGCCAAGCATGGGTAACTTACTTTCCTCCATTAATGAGCTTGTTGAGTGCATCTCTTGAGATCACATGGCCACAAATGAGCTTGATGGGAGGGTTGGAATCGGATGTCTGCTGGCGGAGGATGGGGCACGCAAAGACCGAGTGGTACCAGCACTTCATGCCGAGTTCTATCTCAATCTGGAGAGGCCGGGAAAAGGGTGAATCCCGTTCCTGTCCCCACCATCGTCCCCACCGTCCTCCCCAGTGCCTTCTGCCCACTCCTGCCCCAGCTGAGACTCACCGGCAGTTCATCCTTGTGACTCCACACCCCCGTGCACTGCCTCTGCTCGATCACTGCTTTGATGTTCATCAGCACAGGCAGCGCCACACAGCCAGAGGCGAAGCTGCAACAGAACAAAGAGCATGGGCTAGAGTGGTCCAGACCAAAAAAAAAACCAGACAAAAGGACCAACATTCTGAGTCTTGTGACTCAGGACTGGGTTCTAAAGTGGCATAGGGTTTAAATCAAACCTTGAAAAAAATTCAGGGTAGCTTATAAAGTGCCACATGTAGTTATGTGTGTCCAACTACATGGCACCCCAAATTTGAGAACCCACAGGAAAGATAAGATCCAGAGGGCAGATACCCGCTTATCTAAACCATTGAAAAGATGGGGACAATGATCAGTTTGAAGCAACCCCAGCCTACCCATGTACACCACTCTGCAGTCATAATATAGCTCTATGTCTGGTTATCAGTTACAGCAATTAGAAATTGGGGGATTCAGACCTCATGATTGGGGTTGGGATGGGGAGTCAACGGGCTAAATAGCTTCAATGTGTAGGTCGGGCCTGTACAAGAGAACTAAGGTGTGATGGTACCTGCCCTGCTGGGAACACCGCTCCACTGAAACGACATCCATGGTAACAAACTAGAGGGTAGAGTCCATCACTCGGATAGGGCAGGAGAGTCTACAATCAGTCTAAATAAACGCACTGTGATGCTACGCACTATGGCTTGTGTGGCTGTGTTGGGTATCCTAGACAAGATCATTCTCATTTATGAAATGAGGATAACACAATGACCCCTCGGGTCACAGTGAAGTCACAGGAGAATACTTCTGGAACAGAGCCTTCCAAGTGAAAATTCTTGAGGCCATTTACTGAGCCCTTCACCCATCTCCTTGCGGGCAGTGGTACTGGAGGGTCTTGTGATAATCCAGGGGTGAAGTGCAGGGGAGGCAGGGACCTCATTCCAGAGACCTTACAAAATGGGAACTTTGACCCTGTCATTGACCTCATGGTGACCTCAGGCCTCAACTCTTCCTAATCTCAGTTTCTCCAACAGTAAGAAGAGAGGTGATTTTTATTTGGAAAAATGACTTACTACTTGCAGTTTAGGTCTGTGAAGGCACCAAGCACAATCTCTGGCACACAGGCAGGGCCTCAGTGAATTGTGTTTCTCTCTTACCCCTCCCATTTGTGCCCCTCCCCCAGCTGGCTGTACCTGACACTGAGGGGTGACTCCACAGAAAGCCCCAGCAGGGAACAAGCATCCCGGGTAAAGGTCTCACAGATCTCCGCCCAATGGCTATTATCCAGGAGGTGGCAGTAGGGTGACTTCTCCAAGCCCAGCCGGAGGTACACCAGGCTGCCCATCATCACCTGGATCTCTGCAAGACAAGGGGACCAGGCTTAGGGGCCTTGCCCCACACTGTGGCAGCTGCAGGGCAACCAGAGTGGCTCCCAGATCCCTAGGACTGAAATGCCCTCGGGCAAAACTGGTTTTCCAGAGAATCCAATAGGAGGGTAGGCTCTTGGGGCTGCTTGGAACAAGGGTAGGCACCAGGGAGGGAGGAATTTCAGTTCTTTTTATCCTTGAAAGGGCACCCAAGAAGTGAATCTCAGGTAGGCACCCATGTTCTGCAACACGAGCTAATCTCTCTTGTTAAAGTTTTCAGAAGATACACGGCTAAAATTTGGTAATGTTGCTTGGTGTTCATGATGCTTATTTCCAAATGATATGTGAAGAAATGTGAGTGGAATTAAAAAAGTCACTAGCTGCAGGGGTGGTTATGAGTGGTGACCATCTGGCAGGTGAGACTCCCAAGACTGGGGTTGGAAATCCTGAGTGAATGAAGAGAACTCTGGCAAGAGCTCCTGAGGTGAAGAGGGAGTCTTAAGAAACCAGCTGGGTTCTCAGCAGGGTTCTAGGTGGGAGAGGCTGGTGTACTGCCGAGGCAGGGTAGCCTCAGGGCACAGGTGCAGGGTGCTGAGTGGGGGTATGGCACATGGCATGTGTCAGGCAGGAGGAAGTCTGAGATGAAGCTGGGAGAAGGGCAGAGGCAGCTGAGAACCCTGAGTTTGGAGCTTCCCTTTAAGACAATGAAGGAGAGGTGAAAGAGTGGAGTTGGGGAAGGGCACTGGTAATGTGCAGCACGACTATCCCACTCACGCTGACCCGTGCTGCAGCCTGAGCACCTACCCCGCTGGTGCAGCCGTGCAAAGGGCTGGAAGTGCCGGGCATAGCTGAGGGCCTCCAGCTGCTTCTCAGAGCCACCTGCCAGAAGGCGGATGAAGTGTAGTCGGTGCAGCTTGAACTCCAGGGAGCTGTTGAGCTCCAGCAGGCGCTGCCTGTGGGAGATGGCCCATCTGGGGAAAAGGGCCAGTTTAATGTGCAGCTGGCAGAACAGAACTGAGAGATGGACTCCAGAAGCCTCTGGGAGGTCCAGAAGACAAGGCTGGAGCCTGGAAGACAGAGCTGGAGGTGTGTCACATACTTTGGGTAAGGTGAAGACAAGCCCAGTGCCTTGAGCAGCAAAGGCAGCAGTGATTCTATGGGGCAAGCAGGGCCAACTTACTCCAACGCTGGCCCCAGGTCCTGCTCATGCAGAGCTTCCAGGATTCGATTCAGCTCCAGGAAAGGCTGCTTGAAATCCAAATCCACGTTGAGGGTGGACTCCTGTGGGAAGAGGCCGATCCCACCATTGGAGGACTGTTTCCAAAATTTTCTGCTCTGCACATAATAAAACCTCATTTGCCAACCATAGGCTGGGGGTGGGGTTTGTGTGCAGAGGAGCTATGGTTTCTTGTTCCCATTTCAGTTCTGGGAAGCTGACTGCTACATGCTGGCCTCCCAAAGGTAGACCACAACTCAGCCCTACCCCCAGGGAACAGCCCACGTGGAGCAGCAAGTGATAACATTACTCCTTTTCAATCTTCCCAGTTACATGAAGAGAAAGTAGCTTTATTTCTTTTTTTTTTAAAGATTTATTTATTTGTGCATACAGCAGCTGGGGTACAGGCCAGAGATATGGGGGGGTGAGAGGATTCACCAGACAGGATTCACCAGACAGAGTGGGGAACAGAACAGGCAGACCGACTGAAATACACTGCGGAGGGGAGCAGCAGGTGAGACAGGAGAGGTCTGCCTCACCATGTGGGTTGCTCCCCGGCTGGCCGGGATCGAGCTCGTGCTGCAGAGGCTGCGGATTGCTTCATAGTGCATTTACTCCCTTGCGCCACCCGGGAGGCCCCAAAGTAGCTGTATTTGTACTGCCGGTAAGTTTTTAATACCTGACAAGTGCTACTGTCATTTCACTGATCTTTCTTTTTCTTTTTTTAAAAGATTTATTTATTTATTTATACAAGCACTGGGTTCAGTCAGAAGCGCGGGAGGGTGAGAGGATTCACCAGAGCCAAAGCAGGGAACAGAGCAGGCAGACTGACGAAATACACTGCTGAGGGGAGCAGCAGGCGGCAGGGAAGGTCTGCGCGCCATGTGGAACCCTTGCCGGCGGCCGGGGATTGAACCGGCACTGCTGAGGCTGCGGGCAGCTAGGCAGCCCAGCGCTCAACGGCTGCACCA